AGGCGCCTCAGGGCAACAAAAAGAAGGCTGGGATAGCCTTGTATACATTGACTAAGCATTTCATACATATATATATATATATAAGTAGATGGGCTGGACAGCGCCAGACGCCTCAGGCCAACAAAAAGAAGGCTGGGATAGCCATGTACACATTGACTAGGCACTTCAAATATACAACTAGGTGGGCTGGACAGCCCCAGGCGCCTCAGCGCAACAAACAGAAGGCTGGGATAGCCTCGTATACACTGACTAGGCACTTCAAAGAAGTAGATGGACAGCCCCAGGCGCCTCAGGGCGACAAAAGAAGGCTGGGATAGCCTTGTATACGCTGATTAGGCACTTCAAAAAATCCATGGGCTCGACAGCCCCAGGTGCTTCAGGGCGACAAAACGAAGGCTGGGATAGCCTTGTATACACTGATTAGACACTTCAAACATGTACATGGCTGGACAGCCCCAGGCGCCTCAGCGCAACACCTCAAGATACCGAAAGTTTGGCTGGGCAGGATGAACCAGGAAAACACAAAACTAGGAAGGGTTGATCGTGCACTGCCTAGGTTATCCAAATAGGTATCTGCCCTCCAAACGCACCAAAGATTAGAGGAGTGGAGCGGTGAGGCTCACGGAAAAATTAAGCAAATCGCATACTTGTGCGACTGTGCATGTGTGAAACCATGTGTTAAGTCAGTTGGGCAGGATCCTTGGGAACCTGGTTGAATATTCGGGGACACTTAGCAGGGCTTACCGCACATGGAGGCACGACTGCATTGTTTTTTGCTTTGCAGACATGGTGCAATGCAAACCACTTTTCATCCGGTGCAGGGTTTTGAGGTGCAAGTTGTATGTCCCAACACTGGCAGTATGGCTTGAACAGTTTGCCCGCTTCAGCAGGGGATTGTTCCTTGGGTTGCTGAACTGACGCTTGTGCTGACTTGAGAACCGGGTTTGATCCACAATTGGTGCCTGGTGTGATTGGTGATAGGTTGAATCATTTAGTATGACCCGCACTGAATCTGCGAACGAAACCCTGCATTTGCTGCAGAAAGCTGCAGTTGTTTTTCGCCATTGGTGGAGTTGGCCCTGGCCACTAAAAGTGATTTTCTGGGTTTTCTTCATGCGCTCAATGTTGCGACGAAATGAGGGAAAGGAAGGTTCCGAACCTAGTCAGGTCCGATTTCATTAGCTGTGGAAGGTCCGATCAGTATAAGTGAGACATGTTCAGAAACAAATCAGAATGCCGATGTCATAGAAAAAATGATTTCGGCCTTCCTTTCTCCATGTACAGTGCACCAACTCAGCAGCTGAAGTCGGAAGCCATGGCATGTAGTGATTTTGGATTGCTATTCCGCTGAACCCTGTGATACATGAGGGTTCCTTCGGTGAGCCTCGCTGTGAATTAATTTGCGCTGCCACGACGCTCTTTTGATCTTGTTCGGTGAACAAAGTGGACCTGCGTCTCACAGCGGATGCCATTTTTGCTGTTAAGAAAGGGTTTGGCCACTAAGATCAAATTCTTTCCATCCGGTTGGTCAGGATGCAGCAATTGCCACTGTGGATGTGGTCGGGACCAACGCCATCAAAACAGTCGGGAGCCTCTGGAGCCATGGGGACCCAAAGTGCGTTGTTGTATTTTTTTGGAGGTTGGGGGGAATTGTATGCCAATGGGTTAATTTTGGCTGTTGAGAGAGTCTTGGCACATGCCCAGGTGGTGCGTTCGATCTTGACTGCAGAAGCAGCCATCAATGCCGATGACTTCAGTGGGAGGCTGTGGAAATGGGGTTGGTGTGGTTGGCATAGCATTCTCAGAAGTCCTAGCGGCATTACACAAACACTCCTTGAATATCCTGCTCATATCAGTGGGTTCTAACCATAGGTTGGACCCATGCAGGCCATCGCATTTTATCCACACTCCAAGAGACCTCCTGCACCGGTGTGTTATTGGAACAGTCCACAACTTTTCTGCAAGCATGCAGGCCAAGCAATCCGATTTTCTTGCCATGGATACTACTTCTGTTGCTGCCCTTTTTCAGCAAACTCCTTTCGCGCAGTGTTCACACAAGGCCTCAGTGCCGGCTGGCGGTGACACCCCGCCGGAGCCCGGAAGTCATTGAGGCAGGTCCTCAAACCACCATGTTCACATCCATGAATGGAGGGTACCATGAATAAAGCATCGTATCCTTCTCACGAGGCGTTTGGTAGGCTTGGCGACACCCCAACTACTGTCATAGGATCTCTTCGATTTCTGAAAGCACCGTGTTGCCTTGTCATGTTCTGAAAAAGATATGGGGCCTCAAAAAGTGTCTTCACTTTTGAACATACTGTTAGAAAGGCAATTCTAGAAGTTGAGTAGGGGTCTTGCCATATGGCCCCATCCACTTTTGCTGAACCTTTCATCCGATGCCGATATCATCTACGCAAAGGATGTCTAAAGATGTCTAAAATCCTTTCCTCCCAGGACTATCCGGACGGGCAAAGCAGTCATATGATATGATCTTGAAGGAGATGGGGCAACTCCCCCCACTTAGCTTGAATCCCGCAAATGGATTATATTATATGCATGTTCTTTATATGTATCGCAAGATTTTCAAGAGTTGCTAACCAATTGTTCTTTTTGTCCATCTGTGAAGCCGAAGACCAACTTGCAGGAGGCAGGAGACCGGCGAGGCCTTGAGCTTCGGATACGATGTACCACAGGTCACCGGGTTCCGATGCGGCGTGGCACCAGGAGGGCGCATCATGGCTCCCTGGGCATGTGCGGTTTGAATGCGCCACCACCGAACCTGTTTCCGAAGGGGGCGTCATATGCTACAGTATGTAGCTGCGAGAGGCTGTCGGCACAAATGTTCGTGATGCACACATGTTCGTAAGCCACTATATGTCTTTGTAACAATGACGTTTGATAGCTTGATGAGCATGTTTTGGACATGATCATAATTGAGAACACTGGGACGATATTGGAGACTTCGATGGTAGATTTGGCCCCAGCCAATTTCAGCAAGACTTTTTGGGCATATTGGGACAAGAGCAGATCGGATGTAGAACCCTGAAGGTATTGAGTAATTATGCTAATGGTTTCAAATGTTTCAACCTGCTCGTAATTTTTTGTTAATGGACTACCAGGCATGTCAACCTACAATGATTTTAAGACGTATCAAGGATCTAGATTCTATGTCTTTGACAATGTCTTGCACGCCCCAGATGTCAACTTTTGAGTTTTGGATTAAAGCAGTCCTTGAGCATATGTTTACACATTTATCCAGTTTCTTTTTGCTACTGCAAACATCCGGTTGAATCCATTTGAGACACTTGACTTTGCTTGACAACTTTTGGCCAGATCTCCCACCACCTGCAGAGGGAGAAATCCGCGTTGCGCCCACCGTGCATGTTGCTGGAAGTCTTTTCCGGTGTGGGTTCGCAAGATGTCGAACCGATATAATTCAAACGAAGGAAATATGGCCCGACGGTTCAACGCCCAAACAAGCACCCATTGCTGTCCATCTTGGCACATTTGAGACGCTGGAAGGGTTCTGGTTGGGTCTTGGAGTCCTTCTTCTCACTCTTTTTTGGAGAAAGAAAATGCCCAAACTAAACAAAAAAGCTCTCTTGATGTCATTGCTTATCCTGTCATTTTGCTTTCTTTTTGTGTCGCCTTTGACCGCCAGGCGCGGCACCAACGTGGGCAAGCTCGCCGGCAGCGTGGCGCGGCGCCTCCGCGAGCGGAACGTGGCGCTGGCCGGGCGGCCCGGATCGAGGAAGGGGACCAAAGTGGGAACAAAACCCAGAGAAGCAATACAGTAACAAGAAACTATTAGGTTGGAGGCCATCGCTAGTAACAAGAAGCTACTAGGAACAAAGGGCATCGCTACTAGGAGCAAGAAGCTACTAGTAGCTCCTGGCATTGTTACTAGTAACAAGAAGCTACTACAGTAGTAAAACACGAGGTTGTGAAGCACTGTCAAGAGGATGTTGTCAGACATT